GAACCTTTCTTCGGTTTGAAGGCTGCTCGAGATACTGGTGGATACTGAAAAGATGAGTCTGCATTGCTAACCGCATTTGCTTGATTTTGCGAGGCTGAAATTTTCAGAACCGAGACTCCATGCTAGAGCTCGCATATATAGGGCTGTTGCGGTCAAAACTTCAAGACAAGAGGTACCAATATTTGAGGGATTAGGTGCAGACTGCAACAGAGGACAGCAGACACCTTTGTCTCATTGATTTGTCAGGCAAACAGTCATCTGAAGCTCGCTCTTCAGCCTTCAATTTGAGACCCCTCAGAAAGATCTTTCAGCAGGCTTGTTTCACGCTGAGAAGCAACCCTTGCGCAGTGGTTTCAGCTATATATGTCCATAATTAAGGCCCATTGATTTCAAGATGTGTTTGGCGTTGACTGGCAGCCCCAGCTGCAGGTCTTTTTCTTTATATGTCAGCAAGGATAGTAGTCACGCGTTGATGTCTCTGGTGCTCCCCATAGTCAGATCCAGGCAGCCTTTTTGATGCAACATGAGCTGTGAAACGAAGACTGTTGAGTGCATCAACAGCAAAATTAGACACATTCAAACCAGCGATCAGCATTCAAGGAACGTGGCCACATAAAGTGGATGTCAGCTTTTGATGCTGACTGACAGAGCTAATGGGCACCCTGGGTTCACCAGATCACTTAAAATGAAACGGAAGGACTAAGCAGATGTCATCAGACCAAGTGCACAGCTGTAAACTTGTGCGGAATCTACTGAGTGAACATGTTTCTGCGGTTCTTTTGCCGGGGAATTCCCACCAGTCATCCTGTGACTATCTTGAAGGCTTGCATGGTTGAGCTTCGGGAATGAGAGGTGCGCAGACTTGAGCTGTTTGACCTTTCACTTTGAGCAGGTTCACGGTTGGAACGAGACATCTCTAAAACTGTATACCCTGAGATTGCAGCTTGTGACGCGTACGGCGCCTGCGGTTGGAAATGGTTTGAACAATTTTGAACACGTCATGTTGTTGCCACAGCCATTTGGGATTTTGCTGAAGTGTCCGGAGTGTCCACCATTGTTCAGTCTTGTTCACCGCTGTTGTGATGGAGTTCCTCATGGAATCTTCGAAAGCCACGTTGCGCCTCATGAGTGGCTTGGACTTCATGGTGGAGCGCCTCGAGCCGGAAGACCTCGGAGGTGACTCCATGAAGGGTTTCCGGCGCCACTTGCAGCAGGCCGAAAGCTCCCGGTTTTGCCTCATTGCGTTTTCCATGAATGCCAGCCTGGGGCAAAGCTCGAAGCTTCGCGAGGTTTGCAAGAAGAAACCTGAGATGATCCGAGAAGCACACGATTCGGCAGACAAGTTGCTGCCGGTTTTGGTGGGTCATACAGTGGAGGAGGGCACAGTGACGTTCGTGCTGGATATGTCCAAAGGTGAGTGAGTATGACGACTCAGAATTCTTACAAGCTTGGGAGGAGGATGTTGCCAGCTTCCTTCGCGAACCCGCTGGGCGACAGACAGGAGCTGCCGCTGACACACATCGTCAAATCAGGCCTTGGATGAAGTACTTCATTGCCGAAGGCTCTGTGAAATCACAATTGGTAAAGCTGATGTCTGAAGAAGCCCGCGATTGGGCCCAGAACACAGCAGAAGGTCGAATCCAGTTGTGCATGATGGGCCTTGTTGTCATCCACCTTTTTCAGTACGGCTTTCAGCTTTTGCATGAGTCTGGTGCCAAGATCACCCCATCATCCATCTTCCATGACCTGGAGGAAGACGAACCCCAAGTGAAGAACCCAAAGGCGCTCCTGGAGAAGCTTCGGAAGGATTTTCCAACCGTGACGATGTATGCAGGGGAGTACTATGCTGCAGCCTATAGCAAAGACTCGGCTTATGTCAAGGTGATGTCTGCCATGTCAGGCATTGTCCATGCGCTGTGTGCTGGAGGAGAGATTCACTTCATCAACGTGGATGCAGATGAGGCTTCTCTATGATCTCTATGCTTCTCTAAGATCTCTAAGCTTCGCCTGTGACATGTGATTGATATGTCCAAGAATCTGTTTAGAGATGTTTAGAATCTTTCCTGGATTTGTTTGGATCTTTGAGGTGTTGATATGTGATGCAGATTGCTCTGCGGAATTAAGTAAAGTGGTAAGACGCCAAGACTTTTCCTGTGATAGCCGTGATAGCTCACTTTAATCTTCTTTCGCTGTGCAGGTGAAGAGCCTTCACTTGGCGAATGCTGGGCTGGTACTTCAAGATTCGTGTGCAATGGTCCTTGTGAAAGGGTTGGTGGAGAACGAGGGCATTTGCCAGATCAAGCTGCCATCAAGCCCGTCAAGCTCCTCCAATGGAGTTGCTCGTGCCAACCAGTGTTTGGGTGTTTTCATGTCATGACTCATGACTGCCTCGGCAGATTGTATCCAGAGGAGGGTTTCCTATTTTCTCTATGTCTTTTGATGTCTTGTGCATATGCGACAGGCATCATGCAGAATTTTCAGCGCGACTGTGAGCCAATATGAGCCAATCATCGCCGCCTGCTGAGGTCCAGAGCTCTCTGTATTCACCTGCAGACACGATCTTCGCAGGAAGTCTGCAAGAGAGCCAGTTGTCTTTAGAGGAGAAGGTGCAGCAAGTATTGTTGGTGTGCTCAGGTGAACTGGTTGGAAGAGATCAGTTGACCAAACTTTTTCAGGAGAAGAAGCGCCCAGTGTGCTATGATGGCTTTGAGCCTTCGGGTCGTATGCACCTTGCCCAGGGAATCATGAAGGCCGACATCGTGAATCGCCTCACCAAAGCTGGCTGCGTCTTCGTGTTTTGGGTTGCGGATTGGTTCGGCTTGTTGAACAACAAGATGGGTGGTGACCTTGCAAAGATCCAAACAGTTGGGCGATATTTCGTGGAGGTTTGGAAAGCGGCGGGCATGAACATGGAGAACGTCCGCTTTCTTTGGGCCGCAGAGGAAATCAACAAGAACTCTGATCGCTACTGGCTCCTGGTGATGAACATTGCCCGAGCTTTCACCGTCAGCCGCATGAAGCGATGCTGTCAGATCATGGGCCGCCAAGAAAGCCGGGGGCTTAAATGGCTAGACTCGGCTAGATTTCACCAGATCACTTTGCATCGACAAATCACATATACTTGCCAAGTAATTAATCCGAGTGGCATATAGGCATAATATACCAAATACATAATCAGAATCCTAGTAGCATACATATCGTTACAAACTGTAATGTATAGGTTTTAAGATTTCGAGATTCCTCTTCAGAACAGTCATGATTGCACTTGTCACATGCCACAAATCCATACGAAATGCAGGGAAAGGGAAGAAACAAATCGTGCAGATCCTGCGGACATGGCTGAGGTGACGATATGCCCGCCGCGACAATCATGTATCCATGCATGCAATGTGCCGATGTGTTCTACTTGGGAGCAGACATTTGCCAGTTAGGCATGGATCAGCGCAAAGTGAACGTGTTGGCCAGGGAGTTCATGGACCGCAAGGAGTTTTGCCATGAGAAGCGAGAGAAGCCCATCATTGCTTCGCACGGCATGGTGCCGGGCTTGTTGGAGGGGCAAGAGAAAATGTCAAAGTCTAATCCGGACTCGGCCATTTTCATGGAGGATTCAGTGGAAGATGTGAGCAGGAAGATCAAGAAGGCATTTTGCCCTCCAAACCAGGTGGAAGGCAATCCATGCGTTGCATATGTGCGGATGATCATTTTCCCTCGGTTTGGTGAATTCGTTCTGAAGCGCAAAGCAGAACATGGGGGCAACATCCGCTTTGCTTCTGTGGAAGAGTTTGAGACCGCTTACGGTGCGGGCTCAGTGCATCCGGGTGATTTGAAGGCCAGTCTTGCAGAGGCCATCAATGAGATCATCGAACCTGTGAGGCTCCACTTCCGCGAGAACCCTGTTGCAGCCCAACTTCTGGAGACAGTGAGGCGCTACCAAACCACCAGGTGAGTGAAGACGATTGAAGACGTGTAGGTCGCATGTCTTGGGGTCCTTTTGGGTCCAACTCCAGGGTTGGCCTTGCGCAATCTTGCGCACCTGTGTCGTATTGACAGTGAATTCATGGAGCATTTGAATCATTTGGGCGTTTCACGCGCTTGACTTTATGCTACGTACTTTTCAAGTCCTGGGATTTCTGCTTGTCACGTTGACAGTTCAAATAGTTAACCGTTCCAGGACTTTTGCAACAACGGCCTTTGCACCAGCTTGAGGACCGGTCTTAAGTTCTCAGGCTGTATCACAGAAGGCTGCTCCAAAAAAAGGTGGGCGACTTGTGTAAGTCTTTGCAGTGCTTTGGTGGGACATGAGTGATCCTGCAAGTAAAGGGGTTGGTTGTGCCAAGCGTAGTGCAGTGTCATTCGCAGATTGAGCCTTTGAATATGTAAAGGCATGGTGTAGTCTGATAGCATTGCATGATCTTCTTCCTTTCCGCACCTGAAAACCAGAACCTGCCCTACTTGCCTTGGAAGGTTGACTTGGTGTTGTTGATGGTGCTCCCTTGGTGCAGGCCTGGGGGCTTTGGATAACAAATAGTAGAAATCGTTCCAGCCTTTCAGAACATGGAAGGCATGGGTCACTGTTGCATCCTCGGAAGTGATTTGTTGAACCACAATTGCACATGAGGTGTTTTTTGCAGATGTGTCTCGACACTTACCGTGTGATTTAATACAGCAAAAAAAGGGGTGCCCGAAACCTTCAAAATGAAGCCTGAATTTGAAAGTTTCGGGCGCCCTCTATTTCGAGACATTCCCACCAGTCATCCTGTGACTATCTTGAAGGCCTGCATGGTTGAGCTTCGGGAATGAGAGGTGCGCAGACTTGAGCTGTTTGACCTTTCACTTTGAGCGGGTTCACGGTTGGAACGAGACATCTCTAAAACTGTATACCCTGAGATTGCAGCTTGTGATGCGTACGGCGCCTGCGGTTGGAAATGGTTTGAACAATTTTGAACACGTCATGTTGTTGCCACAGCCATTTGGGATTTTGCTGAAGTGTCCGGAGTGTCCACCATTGTTCAGTCTTGTTCACCGCTGTTGTGATGGAGTTCCTCATGGAATCTTCGAAAGCCACGTTGCGCCTCATGAGTGGCTTGGACTTCATGGTGGAGCGCCTCGAGCCGGAAGACCTCGGAGGTGACTCCATGAAGGGTTTCCGGCGCCACTTGCAGCAGGCCGAAAGCTCCCGTTTTTGCCTCATTGCGTTTTCCATGAATGCCAGCCTGGGGCAAAGCTCGAAGCTTCGCGAGGTTTGCAAGAAGAAACCTGAGATGATCCGAGAAGCACACGATTCGGCAGACAAGTTGCTGCCGGTTTTGGTGGGTCATACAGTGGAGGAGGGCACAGTGACGTTCGTGCTGGATATGTCCAAAGGTGGTGAGTATGACGACTCAGAATTCTTACAGGCTTGGGAGGAGGATGTTGCCAGCTTCCTTCGCGAACCCGTTGGGCGACAGACAGGAGCTGCCGCTGACACACATCGTCAAATCAGGCCTTGGATGAAGTACTTCATTGCCGAAAGCTCTGTGAAATCACAATTGGTAGAGCTGATGTCTGAAGAAGCCCGTGATTGGGCCCAGAACACAGCAGAAGGTCGAATCCAGTTGTGCATGATGGGCCTTGTTGTCATCCACCTTTTTGAGTACGGCTTTCAGCTTTTGCATGAGTCTGGTGCCAAGATCACCCCATCATCCATCTTCCATGACCTGGAGGAAGACGAACCCCAAGTGAAGAACCCAAAGGTGCTCCTGGAGAAGCTTCGGAAGGATTTTCCAACCGTGACGATGTTTCCAGGGGAGTACTATGCTGCAGCCTATAGCAAAGACTCGGCTTATGTCAAGGTGATGTCTGCCATGTCAGGCATTGTCCATGCGCTGTGTGCTGGAGGAGAGATTCACTTCAACAATGTGGATGCAGATGAGGCTTCTCTATGCTTCTCTAAGATCTCTAAGACTCTAAGCTTCGCCTGTGACATGTGATTGATATGTCCAAGAATCTGTTTTGAAATGTTTAGAATCTTTTCTGGATTTGTTTGGATCTTTGAGGTGTTGATATGTGATGCAGATTGCTCTGCAATGGGAACTAAGTAAAGTGGTAAGACGCCAAGACTTTTCCTGTGATAGCCGTGATAGCTCACTTTAATCTTCTTTCGCGGTGCAGGTGAAGAGCCTTCACTTGGCGAATGCTGGGCTGGTACTTCAAGATTCCTGTGCAATGGTCCTTGTGAAAGGATTGGTGGAGAACCAGGGCGTTTGCCAGATCAAGCTGCCTTCAAGCCCAGCCAGCTCCTCCAATGGAGTTGCTCGTGCCAACCAGTGTTTGGGTGTTTTCATGTCATGACTCATGACTGCCTCGGCAGATTGTATCAGAGGAGGGTTTCCTATTTTCTGTATGTCTTTTGCATATGTGACAGGCATCATGCAGAATTTTCAGCGCGACTGTGAGCCAATATGAGCCAATCATCGCCGCCTGCTGAGGTTCAGAGCTCTCTGTATTCACCTGCGGACACGATCTTCGCAGGAAGTCTGCAAGAGAGCCAGTTGTCTTTAGAGGAGAAGGTGCAGCAAGTATTGTTGGTGTGCTCAGGTGAACTGGTTGGAAGAGATCAGTTGACCAAACTTTTTCAGGAGAAGAAGCACCCAGTGTGCTATGATGGCTTTGAGCCTTCGGGTCGTATGCACCTTGCCCAGGGAATCATGAAGGCCGACATCGTGAATCGCCTCACCAAAGCTGGCTGCGTCTTCGTGTTTTGGGTTGCGGATTGGTTCGGCTTGTTGAACAACAAGATGGGTGGTGACCTTGCAAAGATCCAAACAGTTGGGCGATATTTCGTGGAGGTTTGGAAAGCGGCGGGCATGAACATGGAGAACGTCCGCTTTCTTTGGGCCGCAGAGGAAATCAACAAGAACTCTGATCGCTACTGGCTCCTGGTGATGAACATTGCCCGAGCTTTCACCGTCAGCCGCATGAAGCGATGCTGTCAGATCATGGGCCGCCAAGAAAGCCGGGGGCTCAAATGGCTGGACTCGGCTAGATTTCACCAGATGACTTTGCGTCGACAAATCACATAGCATATGCTTGCCAAGTTTTCCGAGTGGCATATATCATATATCATATATCAAATACATAGTCAGAATCTAAGTAGCATACATATCGTTACAAACTGTAATGTATAGGTTTTAAGATGTCGAGATTCCTCTTCAGAACAGTCATGATTGCACTTGTCACATGCCATAGGTACGGGATAAGGGAACAAATGGGAACAAACAGATCCTGCGGACATGGCTGAGGTGACGATATGCCCGCCGCGACCATCATGTATCCATGCATGCAATGTGCCGATGTGTTCTACTTGGGAGCAGACATTTGCCAGTTAGGCATGGACCAGCGCAAAGTGAACGTGTTGGCCAGGGAGTTCATGGACCGCAAGGAGTTTTGCCATGAGAAGCGAGAGAAGCCCATCATTGCTTCGCACGGCATGGTGCCGGGCTTGTTGGAGGGGCAAGAGAAAATGTCAAAGTCTAATCCGGACTCGGCCATTTTCATGGAGGATTCAGTGGAAGATGTGAGCAGGAAGATCAAGAAGGCATTTTGCCCTCCAAACCAGGTGGAAGGCAATCCATGCGTTGCATATGTGCGGATGATCATTTTCCCTCGGTTTGGTGAATTCGTTCTGAAGCGCAAAGCAGAACATGGGGGCAACATCCGCTTTGCTTCTGTGGAAGAGTTTGAGACCGCTTACGGTGCGGGCTCAGTGCATCCGGGTGATTTGAAGGCCAGTCTTGCAGAGGCCATCAATGAGATCATCGAACCTGTGAGGCTCCACTTCCGCGAGAACCCTGTTGCAGCCCAACTTCTGGAGACAGTGAGGCGCTACCAAACCACCAGGTGAGTGAAGACGATTGAAGACGTGTAGGTCGCATGTCTTGGGGTCCTTTTGGGTCCAACTCCAGGGTTGGCCTTGCGCAATCTTGCGCACCTGTGTCGTATTGACAGTGAATTCATGGAGCATTTGAATCATTTGGGCGTTTCACGCGCTTGACTTTATGCTACGACTTTATGCTACGTACTTTTCAAGTCCTGGGATTTCTGCTTGTCACGTTGACAGTTCAAATAGTTAACCGTTCCAGGACTTTTGCAACAACGGCCTTTGCACCAGCTTGAGGACCGGTCTTAAGTTCTCAGGCTGTATCACAGAAGGCTGCTCCAAAAAAAGGTGGGCGACTTGTGTAAGTCTTTGCAGTGCTTTGGTGGGACATGAGTGATCCTGCAAGTAAAGGGGTTGGTTGTGCCAAGCGTAGTGCAGTGTCATTCGCAGATTGAGCCTTTGAATATGTATAGGCATGGCGTAGTCTGATAGCATGGCAGGGTCTTCTTCCTTTCCGCACCTGAAAATAAGCCCTGCCCCCGTACTTGCACTTTCCTTGGAAGGTTGACTTGCCGTTGTTCATGGTGCTCCCTTGGTGCAGGCCTGGAGTCTTTTGACAAATAGTAGACATCGTTCCAGCCTTTCAGAACATGGATAACCTTCTACGAAACCATCATAGAGACCTGGAAACAACGATAAGATCCTAGTAACAACGATAAGAATGGTAAGATCATCACGATAATTCTTCTCTATATATA